TTGGATTTTTTCCTATAAAATAATATAAAATACAAAATTTTGCACTCTATATATTTGTATTTATATTCCTTCCAAATGAAAACTTTTCTTTCCTCTAGAACTTTGAATGCAAAAAAAGTTGTTATGAATTTTGAAAATTGTTAAATGTCCATTTTAACCCCATATACTAGATTTTTTGTTTCTCTATGTAATTCAATAAAGAATCATATTAATAATTATTATATTTATTAATAAGTAATTAATAACAATTAATAATTACTATTAATTAATAATTAAAAATTATTAGTTATTAATTAATACTAATTAAAATAATAGCCATTAAATAATTAACAACTAATAATTAATAGTTAATAAATATGAATTAATAATTACTATTAATTAAATATCCATTATTAATATTTAATTAATAATTATTATTAATCAACTATTAATTATGATAATCATTAATAATTATAATAAGTCTTATTAGTTCAAAATTAATTGTAATTAATTATTAATAATTAATAATTGATAAAAAAATTATTACTAATTAATTATTATTTTTTTAATTCAATAAATAAATAATATTAAAATTTGTTATAAAGATTAGTAATTAATTAATATTTAATAAAAATGATTATAATAAGTAATAATTATTAAATACTATTAGTTATTGTTAATTAATAATTAATAACTATTTATTACTTATAATAACTAACAATAATTATTAATTCATAATTATGAATTATTAAATAATACTAATTAATATAATAGTTAATAATTAATTAACAACTAATACTAATTAATTAATTAATAATTAAAATTTAATTTGTAACTAATACTAATTATTATAATAACTAATTCAAAATTCAAAATTAATAATGATTATGAATTACTTATTATCCGTTTGTAATTCAATAAAGAAACATTATTAAAATTTGCTATAATTATTAATAATTAATTAGTATTTAATAATAACTATGAATTAATAATCATTAATTATTAGTTATTATTTAATAATAATAATAATAAATTAATAAAATAATAAGTTTTAATTAATTATTATTGCATATGAGGCCCTTGAGTTATAAGGAAGTAGAAGTGTTTTGTGTTTGGGGGGTATCATTAGAAAACAAAAAAAAAAAATGTAAGTTTCCTCTTTAAGGGATAAGAGATAAGAGGAAACAAACAATCATTTTCCTCTTAAAATTGTAAGATTCCTCTTAAGAGGTAAGAGTTAAGAGGAAACAAACAGGCCCTTAAGATCAATTTGAAAGAATTCACATATGCACCCAATAGCATACCCCAATTGTGTATTAAGAACACCTCCCACTAATAACTTCGGAAGACGTTTCCAATGCACATTGAGATGTGCATGTGGACGTTTGTTGAGTGCCCTTTGTGGGGTGTAGATGTAATATCAATTTGAAAAGAATACAAATACAAATATGTACATACAAATGTATTCATAATACAAGATTTCTACACATTCCTATTTGTACACCTTCAAAACTTAACCTTTCAAAATTTGAATTTTTTGCCTCAACCTCCTCCATTCAGCTACCTGTCTTCTTGTGAATAGCTATCAAATAAAAGTGTTCTTCTTGCTCTTCCCGCCCACTTTGGTAAAGCACTTTTAGCTCTTAAGTCAGGTTTGGGTTCAAGTCTGATTTGATGTAGACCCAAACAAATGATTGATCACCTCCTTTGTCTGTGGGAACTCCATCTATGACTCTTCGACAACATTCATCGATGATGTTTGGATCTCTGTATCTTCTCCACTCTTACCTATACTTCTATTGCTTCTAGCCTTCTATATCTCTTGAAGGGCTTCTCACCTGAGTCTTATAGGTTCATATAAAATCAAAACCTGTTTGAATCCATAGACCCTCATCACCACCACCAACCTTCGAGAGTTTCTTCCTAGTATTGGTAAAATATAGGGTAGGAATTCTGACCAGATAGCTACCACATAAAGAATACCTTTAGATAAAATATTTTTCACCATTGGAATCGATGACGTGCAATTAAGTGCAATCTTAGCTAGCGTTGTTGTTTTCTTGCTCTCTTTCTCAATACAAGCTCGAGTAATTTAAGCATTGGAGTGCTCACCCTAGGTCCAAACCCCCGAACACTTTATTCTCTCTCTTGTAGATCAGTTCGTCCACCTCAACACTCATCGTCTGAGTTGTCTACTTGAGCAAAACTAGCACAAAGCTCCCCTACTGTTTCCATTGTACTGCTACTCCAAAGATGCATTGGAAGCCCATAGACTCTTATGCAACACAAAGAAACATTCCATTCATCTTCCATTACTCCAAGAGCATTCTTTGCAACCAAACTCTCAAGACATGCTCTGTTTCATGAATCAACAGCAAAAAGACAGAGCATTCCTTGAGGTAGCTTTCATACTCCAAGGAATAAAAGAAGACCCCATCTCTCTCTCTCTCTCTCTCTATATATATATATATATTAAAATTGGTCTATCCATGTCAACATGTCTCTCCTTTAAGAGAAGTTATTTATTAGATAACTTATGAGTTGAGACCTTAATAAACACTAATAAAAAATATTAATTGATAGTTTTAAAATGCCAACAATTAATTAAAAATCTAAAAAATTCTAAAAAACCTAAACATAATTAAAATACTAAAAATAATTTAAAAATATTGAAAATTAACAATATTTTATATTAATAAGGGTATTTACTAAAAATAAAAAAGTACAATTAATAGTATTTTATTATTAAAAATAACAAAAATTATTAAAAAATACCCAAGCAAATGGTATTTATTTAGTGAAAATAATTAGTGGTATTTTTATTATCTATGGTATTTATTTAGTTTTTTAATTTATTTTTCTGCAAGCAAATGCAAATTAATTTTGTAGTGACTAATATGCAAATATAAATGATGAAAATACCGAAAATTATTGAAAAATACTCATATGCAAAAATTATTGAATAATATGAAAAATACCAAAAGTTAATTAAAAATCCCAAAATTCTAAAAAACCTAAAGCTTAATTAAAATACTAAAAATAATTTTCAAATTAAAGTAATTGTACTTTATTGCAAAAAATACTAAATAATAATGAAAAAAATAATGTATTTTAATTATTAATAGTAATATAATTAACAATAATTAATTTTAAACTATAATTAATGGTAATTATAATTTAATCTATAAATAGTAGAAAATTACATTTAATTACCAAAAAGTTTTATTTAATAACCAGAAAATCACATTTAATTAGTTTTAGCTAAGAAATTAGTAATATTTCTGAAAATATGATAATTTCCTGAAATTATTGTATTTTAAATAAATACAATAATTAAATAAAAATCATAATTTTATAATTAACATGGGCTTCTTTATCAATAGAAAATGTACAAACCCGAGCCCAACCCTTATATAATATATATATATATATATATATATATATATATTATAAACACTTAAAAAACACTTAATTTTAACATAAACACTCATAAACATGGCCGAAGACTTGGACCACTAGTTCTTGAATTGCCCAACAATTCGATTGAAGAGAATCCCTCAAAGGACTGGATTTGAATTTGGTTGAGTAAAATGGATACCACAGCATATTTGGCATTGTTGGAAAGCCCGATATCAAATGATAATGGAAAAATATTGATATCAATAAAGCTTTCAATCATTGTGGCATTTCACTCTTAGATTGATGGTTTAGTTCTAACAACGAACTTTTGCTTGTACTTTTGGAAGAAAAAAAATTGAATAAATACTTATTACATAAGTACTTAGAAAAATGGAAATTTATAAGTTCTTATTTTTAAAATAAATATTTATTTTAGACTTATTTTCTAAACAACAATAAGTACTTAATAATGACTCAAACAAATACTTATTTTGAATAATCACTTATTTTTAAACATTTTCAAACATGACCTTCATCACCCGCCTTGCAAAGCTCACAATTACTTTCATATATTTGACAGAGAAGCTCATTAGCTCACAATGGTCGAATGTGCATTAAACAGAACATGAAAACAAGAATTATGGATGGCAATTCGTGAAGGCACCAAAATTGCTTCCAAGTTTCAGGCAGAAGTGCAATATGATTATTTGAAGAAGATTGCTCACTCTGCAACAATTTCAAAGTTGATGTATATGTAAATCTTCCATGTGGAATTAACATGGTTTTAAAACCATTATTGACCCGGGCGATCAAATCGTTTGACCTGAACTGTCCGGTTTTGTTTTATACTTGATCCAGGATTTCTCAAAATAGCATTAACTTGTCAACGAATCACTGACCTAAATGATTGAATTGTTAAACCGGCCATTCCCATGAATGATTTATGGGACACTACTATTTTAATTATTTTTTTTTAATTTTTCAAAAATTTTATGAACTCATTAATTTGAATCATACGGCTGAACCATTAACCCAAAAATCATTGACCAAAACGGTTGTGTTTCTGAATCTTTCGAATTAGAGGGAAGCTCCAAACAAGAAATCCCAGTCATTTTGGTGAGGGGAGGTATAACTTGAATAAATGAAACTAAAAACAAAGGGATCATACAAGGACAACATTGGTATAACTTGAGTCTTTTACGTCTTTTTGGTCGAACAGTCAAACTCTACCCCATGGAAGAGTAGACGGGACACATGTTTATCAAATTAAAACAACTACCAGACGAGGCACGTGTTTATCAAATTAAAACAACTACCACACGAGGCACGTGTTTGATCCCAAGTCTCTACTTCCACAGGTCAGAGATATTCTTAATACATGGCTGAAAAGCATGAGAAAAGGTTTTGGCATAATTATGTGAGTACCAAATTCAGTTTCTACTTTCTAGTATTTTTTAATGACTTTTTCTAGTTGGGACTCCACCAAAGTATCAATGCAGGCAATAGAAAATAATTAGGCAGACTAAACAGACTTGTTAAATCAAATTATCCTTTTCTAGCAAGAGCCTATGACTATAAATTGGTGGGTACAGTCATCCTTCACTCATAATCAGAGGTAAAACCAGAATGGAGATAGCAACAAGAGTACAAACCTTGGCACTTAGAGGGTTGAGGGAGCTGCCGGCGGAGTTTATCCGGCCAGCTAATGAGAGGCCGGAAAACAGTAAGGCCATTGAAGGCACATCAGTGCCTGTAATTTCACTCTCTCAGCCAACGGATGTGTTAGTGAAGGAGATGTCGAGTGCATGCAGTGAGTGGGGGTTCTTTCTCATCACTGACCATGGCATCTCTCCTTCACTAATCCAACGTCTCCAAGATGTTGGCGAGCAATTCTTTCAGCTCCCACAAGAAGAGAAAGAGAAGTATGCAAACGATCCTTCTTCAGGAATGTTTGAAGGCTATGGCACGAAGATGACTCGCAACCTTGAGCAGAAGGTCGAGTGGGTAGATTATTTCTTCCATTTCATATGGCCTCTTTCAAAGATAAACTATGCAATATGGCCTCAGAACCCTCCTTCTTACAGGTATGAATGTTAAATCATGTTCATATAAAGTATCAACTGTTCCATAAATGTTGACAATATTCACTTAATGCAGGGAGGTGACGGACGAATACACACAGGAACTGTTGAAAGTAACCGATAAGCTGCTGGAGTTGCTCTCCCTGGGACTTGGTTTGGAAGGGGAGAAACTGAAGTCTTGCTTGGGTGGTGAAAAGTTGGAGCTTGAACTGAAGATAAACTTCTACCCACCATGTCCACAGCCTGAGCTTGCGTTAGGGGTGGAACCCCACACGGATATGTCTGCTCTCACCATACTTTTCTCTAACAATGTCTCTGGCCTTCAGGCGTGGAAAGATGGGAACTGGGTTGCTGTTGATAACATACCAAATGCACTCTTTGTTCATGTTGGTGATCAGTTTGAGGTTATTTCAGCTCTCACTCGCTCATTCTCATTTAACATTTGGAAAAGTACAGTGCAATACATTGCATAATTCTGAATTTTACTACAACTTTACACAATTCAAAATGACAAATACCCGTCTGCATATTGGCATCAATTCTGAGGTAGCACCTACTCCAACTGTATGGTAGGGTTAAGGATTCTTAGGATGTGCTGAACATTCATTCTCATATTTGCAAGTAGGGGTGGATTCGAGCTAAGCCAAGCCGAATAGTATGGGACTCGAGCTCAGTTCGCCTAAGAAGTACAAGACTCGAGCTCGAGCTTAAACTCGGCTTGGCTTGAGCTCGATTTAAGAAAAAATATTTCATAAAAATTAAAAATTATATATCGGAGGTTGGTTTAGGACTCCTTCACCCTCTGAACCGATCAAACTCTGATACACCCACATATCAGAGAGGTTCCGGAATACGTGTAGATGCTTTAAACCTTAATCACCAACATTTGAATGAAAAGACATCTAAGGCCTCTCATTAACTAGTCGTTTTACTGTTGTAATGGCCCTTCCTTTTTATTGCAGGTACTGAGCAATGGCAAGTACAAAAGTGCTCTCCACAGGAGCTTGGTGAACAAGGAGCACTTGCGTATGTCATGGCCTGTGTTTTGTGTTCCACCATTAGATGCTGTAATTGGGCCCCTTCCATCACTGATAAATGAAGAAAATCTACCGAAATACACGAGCAAAACCTATGAAGAGTATCGATACCGCAAGTTTAATAAGCTGCCACAGTAGAGAGGCCGCCATTTGGTTAATGTAGCTCACCCTCTCTGGCCAGGACTAAACTTTGCAATCATCTAAAATATTTTCTGCAAGTTTGTAGTATGAGTTTGAATAAATCCAATGATGTATGGATTGCATGATTAGAAAAACTCTGCTGGTTTCACTTTTTCTTTTTAGGGTGGATGAGCTTCAATTCTCCATCCATTACATCACGAAAGAGAGTTACAACCACAGAAAAAAACAAACAACAAGAAAGGAACAACAGAACAAATTAACTAGCACTATCAAGAGATAGGAACGACATCAAAAGCCTGAAAAATCTTCTACAAACTAAATCTTGCAGCCACATGGGTTACCCTGTTAGTTTCTCTGGAACACCACAGGAACCTAGTTGATTTGCCACTACAGCAAACAAAACATTAGTGTCCTTGCAAAAGAAAGAAGATGTCTTGATGCCAAGAGTTTTCATTCGGATTCATTCCTCACAGAACCATATTCATACTGTATTTACAATCATTTAGAATATGTCTCCATGAATAAAAACATACGAATACAGAGATCTTTTTGATGCATGTATGGCTGCAAAAGACTATGAGCATGATGTGAGAACTATTTTGTGAGGGCTGAATCCATACTCATTTTCATCATTATTATAATAGATTAATTGATCACTATTGTTTGATTTAAACAAAATGCTAGCGGGGAAGCCCTTGTTCACAGAGGCAAAATAGAAAAATGTCAAATGCAATTTGGAGATATAATAATAAAATGGACAAATGACTTTTAGCCCCCCTTCACAAAAGGAAAACTCCCTCACACTTGTGCCATTAAAACCCAGCGGCTAATTAAAATGCCATATAAACCCCCACTCGGCAGATATGATATACGTCTAACACTTTCAATTTTTTTTTAAGAAAATACCATTCCGTACTCTTCAATGCATTTCTAATATTAATTTGGGTATCCATGAAGGCGGCTTTTCACTTGTCCTTTGAAAAAACCATAAGCACAATTTCTCCATAATATCAAAACATCTTTTCTCTCTCAACGATACAGAATTTCAACAAAATTGACTTTAATTTTTATGAACAAATTAAACAAGTTGTCTTAAGCATAATTTCTCCATAATATCAAAACAACTTTTCTCTCTCAACGATACAGATTTTCAATAAAATTGACTTTTTATTTTTATGAACAAATTAATCAAATTGCCTAAGTGATCTTAGTTATCTGAGACATAATGGATTTCTATCCACACGTCATAACCAAGAATAGCCATTTGACATCGGCTCTAAAATAAGAAAATTTAAATTTTCATAACACTGGTACCATAAGAAAGTATTGTCGAGCATTAAGAACCGACTACTACATGTAAGGCTGTAATTGGATCGGATTCCGATCAGATTTAGAAATATTTGAATCCGATCCGATTATTGAAAATTTTCATCCAATTCTATCCAAAATTCTATTGGATTTGAAGACTTAGGATTTGAATACAAGTTAAAATGGACTCAGATCGGATTCGGATTTAATCCGACTCCGCTTTAATCCTATAAAATTTAAAAAATTAATTACTTTTCACTTTTAATATATAATAAATTAATATAAATAAACAGATTGAATAATATAATTAGCATGAGAAAGGGAAAGTGAAACTAACTAGTTTTTCATAGGTAAGGTCTAAATATGATGCTTGGGTATCATCATGAGACATGAATAAGAAGTCAATGGAGGTGGGGTGAGAAAGTTGAATAGCTAATCTACACATTATAGGAGATAAAGATGTGAGAATTTTCTAGAATTGGTTGACATTCTGACCTGCTACATCTGCATCCCTGTTGGGTTTGGTTTGGTTTTGTGTTGTTTTCTAAGTGAGACTTTCTTGGATAAATAGGTGAATGATCGATTCACCCATTGCGTGTTAAAAAGCCTTTTGATTTAGTGCTAAAAGCTTTCAAATTAGTGATTGATTTCTTAATGGAATTGCAATCCATGGAACCAAGATCTCCAAAGTTTTAGTTTTTGAAAGCCTAGTTGCTATTTTTTGCAGGAGGACAAAGCTCCCCCAGAAGTGGTGCCGCTTCTCATGAGGGTTTGGGTTTGCTCTCGGGATTGTTCATGAAACCAGGAAAGAAGCACATGAACATAACAGTGCTGAGCAAAACTTGCAACTCTTGTAGAGACTGGACATTTTTGTGTGTATAGGTGTCTCCGGTTTGTCTTGAGAGTAATTGGTTTAAGATCTTACCACCAATAACTTTGACAAGGCTCTGGGATAACTATACTAACAAGAGGTTTAAGTTGATAAACACCTTTTGTATGCATAACTGTGTCATAGAAGTTTGGATTGAGAGAGAACTATGTAATTTATCAATCAATGTGGGGGATTGTTGGATTTTAATCTCATAAGAGATTAAATCCAATGGGTTTGATTGGTCAATTACATGAGAAATTGCACCTGCACACTTGATTGAAAAATCAGTTTTTCTCTTACAAAAACCTAGTTTTGAACTTGTATCACATTGGAAAATTATAAGTTTTGTTTTCAGTATTTCAATAGGAGCTGATTTACACTCCTTAGAATTAGTAGAGGAGAGTATGGGGATTCGATACCACGCAACGCGTGTGCGGCGCAATGAGGCGCACTTTGCGCGCACCCGCGTGGCTCGCAATGGACAGCTTTGGTTTTGGTGCGTTGCTGACCGTTGATCACCGTTGATCTCATCAACGGTCACGATTCGATCGGGTGTGATCAAGAGGCACAATCTAAAGTTAACAGTCACCAACTGTTAACTACTTTTTAAACAGTCACAATGTTTGAAATTGTGACTGTTCAAAGTGTTTTCTCTAAACCAACACCTACATTTTCCTCATACCTCTTCACAAATTATTTAAGGAGCATGAATCAGACTCCAAATCACACAATTTCGAAATTCACTCTCTCTCTCTCTCTCTCTCTCAGTCCGATCTGCTACAGTCTCACATAAGGTTTCTTTGGAGGCTCTTCAACTTTGCTGGTTGCAGATTCTCGCCCAAGGCTCTATTATATCCTGGGAACGAATTTGCTTCTAACCCAGCAGCAAACTCAGTAAAACTTAGTGGGGGCAAATAACGTTCTAAAGACAGTGTCTTTAGACGCTTCTCAGAGCTTCTCCTCCACAGTTACATTGACCCCATATTCTCCAACACTATATTTAAGTGAAATCCTTGTAGAAGAACTTTTGTGAACCATGTGAATGTATCGGATTGTATTTGCAAAAGAAAATGAAAACTGGGACGTCGACAATTGTGTGATATGTTTCCTCTAAAAAAGCATATCAATTGCGTGATATGCGTCTTCAAAGCATTTGGCACAGTTCTAAGCTTAATTTTCTAGATTCAGTTTTTATGATATTTTAGTTCGTTTGAATTGAAAGGATACAAACAACAGTTCTAACATTTTATAACTAAAAATTACAAAATAAGAAAAAAAAAACTTATGAACCATACTCTTGCAGAGGTAATATCTTAATGCAAAAAATTAAGAAGCGCCCACTAGGAATCATGGTAGTGATAGCAACAATTGCCTTATAGCAGCTGTCAATCCAAGAGTTTCTGCTATGTCTTGAAAACAAACATGTACACAGAAGACAATATTGTCCCACAACTACTACAAAATAACTAGAAGATGCTTACCCATGTGTCCTAAAAATCGTAGAGATATAATTATGTACCTAAAAGTTGAAAAGAATTATAAGATGCCATACAAAATCGAAACCAGGGGTTGGACCATGACATCAGAAATAAAAATCCAAGGAATGGAAGTAAAGTTATCAACATAATGGAAGATTTGATAAATGGAACTATGCAGTTTAGGTATTCAAAAGATAAATAGAAGAAAAGTGTAATTAATTGTGATGCCAACCAAAATGAACAAACAATAAAAAGATAATATCTTCATGATACTCGAGGTCTTGATTAGATAAATAGAGCATCTTTGGTGTTATTTAATATTTGAACAAGTTCAGCACTTTTGATGTTAACATGGCAAAACGTCTCTTAATACTGTAGGGACATTATAGCATCCTCTTTGGGAATGAAACACATTCTATGCTTCCCTTTTAGCCTAAAATCATACAATTTAATGACAATTCTTTTTTTGGATTTTTAGAGAGGGAAAAGTTGGTCAATGAGATTTTGATTCCCATTGACAAAGAAACCCATGTTCTTTTCTCAGATTTATGTAGGGACTAGAGAAAATTTATTTTTCTAGGTATGGTAAGTGATACTCATCTCCTAGGTGGGTAAAAATAATTTCCCCACTTGGAGGGAAAGTTACCAATACTTGAATGGGGAAAAATTGCACCTTTTAATATCGGATTTTTATGGCTAAAATAGTCATTGCCTTATTTACATGGGAAATAAAAGAATAAGTGTAAATGAACTTACTTGGGTAAGTTTTTCTTGGGAAACACTTACCCAGGTAAGTAACTTACCAAAAAGCAAATAGAGCCTTTAGAGAAAGGATCTTTAGTCCCATGCTAAACCAAGGTACAAGGTTCAACATAAGATTTTTTTTTCTGTATTATACATATTCAACTTATTGTCTTGTATCAATTCCCAAAGTCATAAGTTTTAATCAAACAATTTTAATTTGAAAAGCACAACCTTGGTTAGTCATATATACCTTATATTTACGTTATATCCATTTTATGCTACTACTACAAAAAAAAAGAAGAAAAATTGGGTATTTCAGCTCAACTTTTAGGCTAAGTTCCATGATTGACAAATGGTTTAGTGATTCTTTTCCTATATCAAGACAAGGTTTGTTAATTCTAATTGAGTTTAAGTCATGTGACCTCGTTACAATCTCTTCAAGAAAAATTTGTTTCACAACTTTGTCTAGAACTTTAACTGGATCAAGATTCCTGAGTCATGCAGACAACTTGACTCAATCTAAATCACAACTATTGGGGTTAGCTACATAAATCCTATCATGCCATCATGTTCCATCAAGATCCATGTTTTCTATCAAATAGAAAGTCCTTAACATTTCAGGATTTATCTTCATATTGTACATTTGTACTATACTTGATATCTTAGACCAGTCGGTTCTGTATTAGATTTAGGTAAATACATAATCAGGCTATTTAGGTTCAATATGTCTTGGGGATTCAACAGTTT